TCAAATATTTTTATTAAACGGGCCTGATCCAGAATAAATACTAAAGTTAATGTATTTAAATAGGAAAAATCATTCAATTTACAATCGCTTAGAATGTATGAACCATAATTAGTACGAACCTATCAGAGAAACAATATCATAATAAATATAAACCAGAAAATTATGTTGCGCCATGCCTACACCTTTTATACCCGTCACCGTTATCCAAAAAAGACTTCCAAAAAGAGAAAAAATTAAATTTTCCTACTCTATAATATTGAGTGGACGCGGCTAATTTTTTCTATTTGAAGAATGAGAGTGAAAATTTATATGGCTAATGTGTTGTATTTTGTGAGCAACGAGGAAAAACACGGAATGCAAAAGTGTTCACAGTTTTTGTTACAAGGACGTGTGAGTGATGTAGGCGTATCCTTTAACCGGTTTGTGTCATTTTCAAATTTTTTGGCAAATTAATGTTTTAATGAGCAAAAACCAAATTTTTATTCCTTCCTAAAAGTAAAGGTGTTTCCAATTAAATGCCTTTTGACAAAATTCGCACATTTACAATGCCAACTTGCTTGCAAAATCTTCTAATGTTTCTGCCCAATTTGAAGGCGATATTTTCATTTTTAGGGCCACAAGAATGTTTCCAACAGACGGACATGCTCAATTCCTTTCAAAACTTGATGCTAATCAAATATGTATAAACTTTTTGGGGTCTCTGAAGGTTCCTTCTGAATGTTACTAGCGGTTTAAGAAAGCGAATATGCCTGCATTCCTTCGATGATCGATACAAAAATTAAAAAAAAATATATAATAGAAAAACAATCATGAATCATGAACCTTGTGGCAACCTTTGATATCAAATGTCAGAAACCTTTCACAAACGTCACTATAATTCGGCATATAGCATGAAATATTGAATAAGTACTAAGTTATAACGGCAAGAAAAAATGAGAAGACAATTATTAAGTATTAGTATAATTGATCTAATATTTCTTTCACCTAAGGAATTTCATGCTAATTATTTAATATATGCAAAGAACTTTACAAATTTTTTTGCGCTATGAATATTTTTATTTCAGATCCTGAAAAAGTTTTTAATTTTCAATGTTAAATTGTATACGAAGGAAATATATATTAAACAAAAACGGAGCTATAAGTTTAGTTAAAAATATATTTTTTAAACTAAGAATAGTATCCGCCTGAGTGGTCGAGTAGGCGAGAGTCTCGACTAGCAACTCAATGGTCGTGGGTTCAAATCTCAAGTACGGTAGAAAGCCAAAAGCCTTAGCTGCTAGTGCTTTAAGACTTTAGTCTTAGAATTTATTCTCTGGCTAAGTTTATAATAATAATAATAATAATAAAATATGAGTAAATATCTTGAGATCTTTTTTTTCTTTTCATAAATTTTTGCATTTCTTCTCGTGTCAATGGCTATAATTTTCTTACTTCCTTCTTACAATTGTATGATAAAACAAATCGAAATCCTGACTTTATAATAGGATTATGCTGCTGCGCTAAACGCTCAAAGCCATAATAAACATTGAAATTTTGTTAGATGCGTTTCACACTCTACGAATCAATTTGAAGTTGTACATTACAGCGCCTTCTAGTAATTTATTTTAATTGATTCTGAGTGTGGTTGTTGTCCTCACTCATCAAACAAACCCACAATACATACGAGCAGAAAAATTTTCTTCGTTTGTAAGCTTTTCTAATATGTACAATAATTTTAACTCAATTCGGTTTTTTATATATTTTTGAAAATTTATTTAAATAATAATTGTAATCGTTTTACATTCACTAAAATGAAAAATTTAATTTTATCAAATTGGAGAAATCAACGATGGCCACACAAAATTATGAACCGTCACTTTTTGATTTTTCTCTAAAGCGCCGAGTTTTTATACATGCGACAGCTGTTCACAGGCTTCGTTTTTTCTTAGTAGTATATGCATATGTTTTTTCTTAGTAGTAATGTATCAAATGAAAGGACTTGGAAAGTAGAATACGGCAAGTTAAGTGTGCTAATTCAAAAGGACACATTGGCCTCACGACGTCGGAAAACTATTAAAAATTAATGAAAAATTTAAAACCAAATTGTATCAAAAATGAATGAAAAAATAATTGTAATATTTTTATGCAATTTTGCAGCAAATAAGGAAAGGTAAGCCTATAAAAAAACATTTCAGTCAAAAGACAAAGAAGAAGCAGGGATTATTTCTTTAATAAAGGTCTTTGCGCAAATAAAAAAAGATATGGCATTACTATGTAAACTGCAGCTGTGAGTTTAAAATATTTTTCAAAGCGGAAAAATTTTTAGTTTATTAATAAAAATAGTAATTTTTGTTAGGAATGTGTGAAAGGGGATAGTCAATTGACCCAACTAAAAGCAACTTCCCTTCCTTCTTTTTTTTGTGGTGCACAATCAGTAACGGGAGGCTCTCTTTATGTATATAAATGTGGCGTTAATTGGGCAAAAAGAAAGGGATTGGTTGTGGCCGCAGCCTGAGAGGTACACGATTGAATAATAAGTGTTATGTCTTCATCGATTCTGCATTCACTATACCTGCGAACGCACATCAATCGTTCTTGAAATATGATCTATCACCCAGGAAATTGAAGCAGGGATAGGGCGTCTTGATAGTCATGTTTCTTATCTAGTCGGCACTGCAAAGTTCACGATAAATTTGTATAATTAAATTATTAGAAACAACATTTTCTTACTAAAGATCAACATATTTATCTACAGTTTTAATATGTGTCGAATGTATAGTATCCATTTAGTTTATATCAAAGTTATCCATTTTTTCAAAGGATATACTCGTATACTTTAAAGTAATTATCTATTATATTATATATTATCTTAAATTTAACATTTAAACTGTGAGGAACGACCGTAACGGCATAGACATGTTCATATCTTTTGAGCAGAAGGAAAGCTTTTATTTTTATTAACTAAGTAATACTGATTTTATGATGAGGAGTTAACGTAAATAAAATTAAGATGGGCAGTTTTATTTAGTTGTGGTGAATTTTATACGATAACATTTTAAATTGCAAGTAGAATAACTTTAGGCATGTTGAGGTAGGTCATTCTTTTCCGTTTAATAGAACGTTCTTAAAATTTCTCATTTCATTTAAACCAAATTGCAAACCAAACTTTACTTTAAACTAATGCAAAAACTGCAAAATGTTCTGCTCCGGTTATAGTTGCACGCATAGTGTGGTTGTGTGGTGTAAAAATCATTTGGAGCTATTTTGTACATAATAAAACATTTTCGTTACAAAATTTTCGATTTTTGGAACGAAACTTTATGCGTCTGTTAACTTTACAACAATAACTTTATAACCTGTTCCGTTCGCTTTACACTCACCTTAAAAAGGTTTGGTTTCTGGCTTGAGACTTGTTTTACAATATTGATTCCAAAACAATTTTTTAATTTAAATCTCTAGAATTCAAAAAATTTGTCGTACTAAAATCCATTATACTGTTACTGTTATAATACTTCGAAGAAAACCATGCACGCCAAAATAACCTCTTCTGCAAATTGTTTTGATTGATGTGCTGATTTTGTTTGCCGCAATGGAAATCATGATTTGAATCGGCGAACACAAGACAGATTGATTGAATGGTAGATTTCATTTTTCAAGTTAATCGAAATAAACGAATTTTGTAGGAGTTGCGCTGCGTGCTTTGACGAGCTAGAAACATTTTCAAATACATCTGCCTTAGTAGATGCAATAAAATTGAACAATATTCATATTTACACAATATTAAGCAAAACCGTTTAACACAATCATTCATTAATCACATTTCCGTGAAATGACTTTAATTTTGCGGCAAATCGTGTACGTTTGCATATATACACAGAAACAAAAAAAAAGAAAACGCATAACAAGAAATAAAGACTACTTATATGAACTTTAGAAATTATTTATCCAATTGATGTTTATTTTGTATTAATTTATATACTATACTCCATAGTATTTTAGAAGAAATGAAAAGCAAGCAATAAAGGCCATTCAACTCCAATTTTAAATATATTTATTAAACCCAACAAACATTTAAGTTATTCATTTGCTTTGTTCTACTGCATCAGTGAAGTCCACCTACATTCTCTTTCTTTTAAAGTCCTTTTTCTTCATTCTTCATTTTATTAATTAACCAAAAATTTCATTGTCTTTTTTATTAATTTTCTCATTGTTGTTTTTCATATGTTTGTTATTTACATTTATGTTGATTTCCTTAGTTTTACTTCTCAAACCATATATTTTTATTTATTAATTTCCTTATTTTTCCTTATAAAATAAGACAGTAATAGAGTTTTTCATTTTGTTTGCCACTTCGGACTTGTTAACCCGAAAAACGAGATAACGCATCATTGCGCCTAAGAATTTTTCTTAAAAGGCGAACTAATCCTGCTACTACATCAACTTCAATTATTTTTACTATGTAATTGATACCTATTGCAGACAACTCTAGATAACGCGAAAACATTCCGGCTGGGAGACACAGTTAATATTTTAATTCAACAGGTTTCGAAAAATTGCATACAAACCCCTTTTTTTCATAAAGAGTCTTCACGAACCAGTCTCAAAGATGAAGTCAAGTTATATTTCAAGTTTAGCACACAGCTTAGGGTAGTCCCAAAGAAAAGATACTTTGGCAGAACTAGCCAAAAAAGCGCCATAAAATATTCCGAAACATATAATAACCGATAGTTGATATCAAAAAAATAATGCCAGTTATCTAACTTTAATTATGCATCGTATTAAATATTACAAATATTAAACAAAAATGATCAGCTTGATACGTGGAAATAGTCCATCAATGCTTGGATAAAAAAATTTTAATTTAAATAATATTCATTTGTATTTTATTATACTCAAAAAGAATTTTCACTAAATATACAAATGCTAATTATATATAATAAAATTAAGTAACCACATAAATGAATTGCAATAAAAAAAAAGAGAGGGATAAACAAGTGTTAGATTTGATTTGTTTTTTTTTTTTTTTCTTACTTTTGCTTATTATTTTAACGATTATGGTGACCAAACACGTACATAAAATTAATTACAATCATTGTGCCTAAATAGATGATTAAATACAAAATCTCTTAAATACGCTTTGCCTGCTTTTACTTTATTGGGACGGATGTGTTAATAAACTAATAAGAATGTTTTCTCAAATTTTATTAAAACGTGGAAGACAAAGAAGAAATTAAATTTAAAAATAAATTGGAAAACAATTTATTCAAGTAAAATACACTTTAGATTTGTAAAATTAGCGTCCGGGTAATGTCAGAAACAACTAAGTCCGTTAATTAAACATAAAGATATAGGACATAGCGCAATCTCTTTGCAACATTATAGTTATATTTCAATCTCTATATCTCTTTCTCTCTCTTTTTCCCTTTCTTATATTTTCTACTGTGATCGAATCCTATCGATAACTTATTTATGACTTGAACTTAAGCCAATTCATTCGTGCGAGCATATGATTAAACATTAAGTTTTATTCCTTTAAAGCAGAAAGATTATGTGCTCCATTTATATGTAAAGCAAAAAAAACTTTTATAAGGGCCCATATATATATAAAATTTGCTTAAAACAGCATATCCTTAGATGTTGCAATTATTTGATAAAATGCAATATTTGCCTTTACATTAACGGACATATACATATATAAACAATCAAATACTTGAAATATGCGAAAGCGACAAAATCAATATTGTAATCAAATTATAACAAACTAAACATATTATGTATATATTGAACTGAATATATTATTTATTATTGTGAAATCTATTGGATATAATTTTATATTATTTATCTTAAGGTATAGTTAATTTTGCATTTATATTTCCTAATAAATACTTTCGTATCTACTTCTCTGTACACAGTCTTGAAATACCTTTGAATCTACATTTACACATAAAACCATCTAAAATAAAATGTATATTTTTATTATAACTAAAATTAATTTTCCCGCCTAAACTTCAGTACTATGAGTTTGTATGCGCACTTTTTTGATGCTACCGTTTCGGCGCATGGGTGGTGAGTTACCGGAACCTGAATAGCCTGGATTTTGTATACCCAAGGTGTTATCACCGCGTGGCCTTGGCTTTTTGAGACTTGATCGCAGTGGTGAACGTGTTAAAGATTCTACAGTGGAGGAACCATTAGATACGCTTGTGACCATAGTGCTCATAGAGGCCACACTACCCGAACCATTACGTATACCAGCGTATGGTTTCCCTGAAGCATCGGTAACAGAAACACCTAAAAAATAAGACATAAAACCAGAGAAAATTTCCTTTTTACAGCATTAAAAAATTAATATATCGCTAGATATATTTTCTACCATTTTTTGTTCTAGGCTCTTTAAAGCCAGGATTATTTATCGTCGTTGCTGAAGACGGCGAAGCAGCATCGATCATCATAGTCGGATCTCCATTCGGTCGTTTGGAGTATAAAACATCATATAAAGCGAAAATAAACAGACCTATGGTTAGCAAAACAACAACAATCTATAATGAGGTAAAAGAAAGACCATAGAAAATCAATTCATTAGTCGGCTTGCAATTTAATATTAACTAAACTTGCCTGTAAATAAAATGATATCCCTCGGGATATACGAAAGCCGTATTTTTCGGATTCATCAATTTGTACAGCAAGCATAACAGCAGCCACCAACGCAAGCATACCTTTAAAGACAATTAATATCAATGCATTTTCATTTTATATCCTCTTTTAGAGTGATCCGGAAGAGATTCGTTTTCTCAGTCACTTTCAATCACTTTTGTCTGTCTGGCAATCACGCTCACTACATATCGTTCTGTAGTAAGCGTACTCTTGCATTGTAAGAACGAAAATAAGAATTATACTTTCATTTTTTTTTTTTTATGTTCAGGATTTTTTTTTTTTTTTTTAGTGATTTGTGTGTCTGTTCTTTATAATCAACAACTGTCTTTTTGACAGGACATGGAGTGTTTATATACACCTTGTCGGGCGAAATCAGGCTCGGATTCTGATAGATTCGTTTCTTGTTGGCTCTGCGAGCGCTTTGGTCATGCAAAGTGTGCCGGTATTCTCGGCCGTGCTGCTGACGCAGTCGCTGATCCGTCTAAAGGCTTAAGATGGTCATGTCCTGACTGTAGGCAGCGGGACATTGACTTTTATAAACTTTTCACAGAGACCCGTTATGGTTTCTCGGAATTGAGTAGGAATCTCGGCTCCTTGTGGGAAAAGTTTGAGCTCATTAAGTCTAGGTTTGATGAGTGTCGCTTTATTGGACACTCATCTTCTACTCGTAGCGTAGCGTGTGGGACGTCACCTCTGGCTTTCTCCAAATCTAATTCGTTGGTACAAGTTACCTCTCCCTCTAACTCTAAAATGAACAGTAATGTTTCCGATATTGCTGAGTCGGTTGGTAGCAAAACAGTTACAAACAAACCGGCAAGTCCATCGGTTTTAAGCTACGCTGAAGTGGCAAAGGTATCTCCGCCCAGAGCTGCCACTCACTCTAATCAAGTGCCATCGCCTAAAAGTAATGAAGAGAAAAATAAGTCATCCTCTCCTCCTGGCTGTTCGCGTGTGAATGCTGGGCATTCTCACAGACTGGGCAAGTCTCACAAGCTGCCGGTACAAGGGCGATAACCCCATCTATATTTTCCCCAACTCGAAACTCTCCTACTGTGAACCCCCCTCCTGTTCCAAAT